ATTAAGGATGTAAGCGATTGCGTTAAGGATGTTAGCAAGTGAGAAATGGTATAGAGACCCTATCGAAATCTATTTGCTGTTTATCAGACACCCGTCTGCAAAATTCGTGCTCCGTGGTTAGCTTGTGATCGCCCATATGCGACACTGGCGGCACCTTCTCCTTGCGCCTGTCTGGTGATGATGCAGCTTTAAATGTCATTCAAGCTTGCAACGACATCGTTTTGAGTCCCGGCTCTGAATATGGCCTGATCGATTACATCCCAATCAACAATCGGATGTGCGCCGTTAGATTAGCTGTTTCGTTGCATGCTACGAAGTCGCGCGGGGACAAACGGTGCCCGTTTATCATGGCGGCGTACGCCCCTACAAACCGTAACACTGATCCGGTGATTGATAGTTTCTATCAGCGACTTCACGATCTCCCTCGTTACAGAAGAAGCACGGGTACTGTGGTGTTGGCTGGCGATCTAAATGCTCAAGTCGGAAAATTGTCCTCTGATGAGCTTCTTCTGGGCGGCCAACATGGTGTAAGCTCCCGTAATGATAACATCATCATCATCATCATACACGTTAGCTAGAGGTGGGGAACACCTCAGCTACTGTGCCGCGATACAAAGAAAAAAGGAGGGAAAAAACAACAACTGGTGGAAGCTGGCTGAGCTACCGGTAACGGATGGGCATCTTTCCGGTAAGCTACCAGCCGCCGTAATGATAACGGTGTACGATGGCTACGGCTGTGTGAAGATGCTCGTCTCTCTCGCGATTACAAAGTTTCGACACAGCACCCGCAGAAGCGTAATATGGCGGCCACCAGCCTTGGGCTAGCCACGGATGCAAATCGATTAGATCGTGATCAGTTATCACTGGTGAAGCTGTGTCCAATACTGTCGCTCGATTTGGAGCAAGAGTGTAGACTCTGACTACGCAGTTGATTGTGCCGAACTTCGGGTGCGTTTCGGTGGACATCCGCAACCTTGATGTGAACGGGTTTACACCAGCTAGCTGACGAAGTTAGGAGTTTCACATTTGTATCAAAGTACGCTGATACCCGGGCTGATTAAGCGCCCACTAAACACCGTCGATGATCACTGATCTCATATTCGTCAAACCTTATAATCAACAGTTATGTCTTCCTATAGCAAAACAGATTGCCAAAGTGGGCATTGGGTCTCTACACATCTCGGGAACTTATGGATGCTCGCCGACCTATTCCGGCTGGAAGCGAATGCAAGGTGACTCGCAAAAACCTCAGGGCTAAACTACGTGCTAGTCTGAAGAAAGACCACGAAACCTGAAGGGCACATCGCGCCTCTGAGATGCAAACAGCCGCTACTGTTGGCAATCATTGTAAGTTATTTCCTCTGATACGGGAAACTGGTAGCAGGAGACGTGGTGTTAGCGAGACCATACGCGACGAGAGTGGGAAGCCGATCCAGAGCCTGTCAAAAGACTTGGAACATTGGGCCGAACAATTTGCGAGGCAACTTAAGCAACCTGATTTATCAGTTCCTTTTTCGAGCATTGAGCGCCCTTCTCCTTTGGCCATCTCCTTAGATCCGCCTTTAAGTGCAGAAGTCGAACGTAAGATCAGATTGTTGAAATTGCGTAAGACCGCAGGGGCAGATAGGACTTCCCCAGCCCCCTTCAAATCCGGTGGACGTGCTCTAATAGATTAGTTACATGTTGCTAGTGAAACTTTGGGAGCATGAGTCTGTCCCGACAGCTTGGAGCCGCTAATTCATTGTCCCAATTTTCAAGGGACGCTCCCGTTCGGAATGCGGCAACTATGGAGAGGTCAGTGTGATCTCAATTGCCTCTAAATTGCTTGCGTCTGTCATTCTCTACAGAATGACTGGCACTCGTGAAAGCCAGATCCTTGAAGATTAAGCAGGAATTTGTCAAGGTAGGGGCAGCATTGTCCCCTTTTTTACCTCGCGTCAATTGTTGGAGCACCGCGATGTTGAATGACGACCCACCGTTGCCGTGTTTCTTGACGTAAAGGTGACTTCGACTCAGTCGAACGACGTGCCCTTTGAGATTGTCTGCTGAGGAAAGGTGTGCCTGATTAATATGTAAACGTTATTAAAGGGTTGTACGCGCATAGTTCGGGCAGAGTGAGGGTTTATGACAAATTGTCGCCACCCTTCAGTATCACCAGCAGTGTGAGACAAGGTTGCCCGCTGTCACTTTTTCTCTTTAACTTCGCTGTTGATGAATTTAAGAAAACAGCGTTCGCTGGACACGACCTAGAAGGTGTGGAGCTACTTCCTTGTGAGTGACCTTCTGACTTAGATTACGCGGACGATATTGCCCTAATCTGTGAAAACTCCCAAACATGCCGATTTGCACTGCACAGATTAACACTGGTTGTCCATTGTTTTGGGCTATGCTTCTCTCCATCGAAATGCAAATTACTTCTCCAAGATTGGCAGGGACCCACACCTTCGCTAACGCGTTGTGGTGATCCCCTAGAATTCGTTCAGGAATTCAAGTACCTGGGCAGCTACAGTAGAGCCCGTGTTATCTAAGATAAGGTTAGGAACCGTACAACATAAGCTCAAGGTGCTTTTGCCAATCTCCGCCATCTGTGCTCTGAAAGGCAGAGTATATAACACAATCATCCGTTCAACTCTCCTATATGGTTGTGAAACCTGGCCCATAAGGTCAACAGACATAAAGAGGCTCGTCATACTCGATCATCGCTGCCTTTGCAGCTTAGCTCATGTCAGGTTTGAGCAACGCGTGAGCAACGAGCGTGTTCGGCGTCGCGTATTTGATGCAGCAAGAGCCAGTGAACCGCTCAGCACTATTATATCACGCACCAGGCTCCGATGATTGGGCCATGTGTTGATCATACCAGCACACCGACTTCCGCAACGTGCATTGTTTGCGCGCCGGGAGTGCGGTTGGAAGAGAAGGAGGTGTGGCCAAGTCGAGAGAAATGAAAATCCTCACTTCGCAGTTGGCGTCTCTTGGTGCATCCCGACTGCCTGGCTGGAATCCTAAGGAAGATAAGCAAGTTTGGTTGGACCCACTTGCTGATATGGCTAGGAGCCGGCAGAAATAGCGTTTGTGTTGTGAGTTCCTTTGTCCGTCCCCCTCCTGCTTAGCTTCCCCTCCAAGCACGATCGCATTCGTTACGCATAACATAACTTTGCTGCACGATAGCCGGCTGTTAACTCTCCGGAACAATGTCCATCCGTTACTGAGGAATGAGCCGGCGTTCCAGTTTTTTCTTCTTGTTGTCCTTTGTATTCCGGCACAATAGCTGTGGTGTTTTCTACCTGCAGCTAGCGTGTACAATGATGATGATGACACGTATGGATTAGCAGGCTCCTTGCGATTACCCTACTATAAATAGCTGAGCAAAGAAATGGTTACCAATGAAAATACTTAAGTCAGATTTTTTACTAGTCTACTGTTCTACACTGTTGTGGAATTGCTTTGTGTAAGCTTGTTTGTCCAGCGGATTACCCATTAGAGCAATTATGAAGTAAGCTTTTTATCAGCAGCTAGCTTTATAGCCACAAGACGACTCCTTCCGTGATTTCTTGCGATGAAAGACACGGAGATAGCAACATCGAGGTTAAACAGAGCTCTTTTATTTTTATTCCTTCCGCCGGGCAAGAAGACGCTCCTAAGTCTAGAGTTACTGTTCAAGCTGAAAAGTACATGAGTTGATTCCTGAGCTCCATATCGGCTTGAATCGGTGAATGTTGATGTTTCAGTAGACTGGCACTATCCCTATTTCCCGGACAACTCATGACGTACGGGCCTCTCCTACTGAAATCCTTGAGCTTCTATAGATACAACGATAGCTACCCTTCATACTGAAGGAAACGGAAGTTCATTTTTCCAAACATTGAACGATGATGCCTTACCCGTTTGGGACCAGTCAATAGTGATTTTGTTATTTCATGTTCTCACCTCATCTCTTTGAAACTTTGAAGGGTGTATTTTACGTGCACAACAATGCATACTTACGCATTGTTAAGCATTTTAAATCTCGTCGTCCTACTTGGATGGTTGTACGTCATTTAAAGTACACTAACCAATGTTTTGACACAGATGCTTACAACTACGCATCTGAATATCTATGTGCTAGTGCTTTTCTGTTCAAAGTTGCAGCTCTGGCAGCAAGACTTAGCTATAGCAATCCCAACTGTTCCATCACTATTGAAAGTATTATATTGGCGAAAGATATCATTGAAATGCAAAATAAAGTGGCTGAAAAACCGACCACTCGCGGTCACTTTATGGGAGTAATACAAAGGTGTATAGGGTCACAGTGTTCAGTTGCGTGGCAATGAAGCTTGATTGAACTAACTACGAAGCTCATATTGTCATGAGGATTCGACTTACACAAATCGCGGTGTGAATTGCTGTCGGTGGATTGCAATTTCTATGATTGATTTGTTAGCTTCAGAGAGTTTTGTTTTTGAGATATCTCCACTAGTTATTACATGGTCAGTACATAGCCACAAACACGGACAGTTGGTTTCGTTTACATTAATTATAAACCAGCACTCACCGCAGATAAAAGGCTTATCCATTAGTCAGGGGTTCGGAGCAAACGACCACGTAACCGAAAAGTAACTGAAGGAAATGGTGGCATGAGCGAATGTCAGTTTCACTTATCAACTAAATAATTGAAATTTTAGAATTCACTCAATAATTATCCTACATAAGTAGTCTTTTATTCATGTCTTACACATTATAGAAAGCGTTTTGAGCGGTCCACTGGAAAGATAATTCACATACCTTGAATAATATAATATAATAGATTAGACGTATTTTGGGTGTGCGGTCTGCTATTACGTGATTTATCGGATCGACCAAAAGTAAGAATTTGGTCTAATTTCTTTTTATGTCCATCAGTTAACTTAAAACTTTATGAATCATGTATAAAAGCCTTTGATGGTTTCCTCACTTCACAATATAGGACTCTGAAAAATTCACGTAAACAGACTGACAGATTTCCTTATGTCTTTGTATTGTCCGCTTCCACAGATTCTGCACGAGGTCGTGTCACATTCTACTATTTGCCTCATGTCCCATGAACGGCAGCAAACCCTGTGTCTTATCCGCATGTTCTTACAAGGAGTATTGTCCAAAGAGGAGCAACAGCAGTCGGTTGTTCATTTGGATGCATTCTGTTCTGAACATTGGACTCTCGACTCAGTGAGTTCTGTTGAGCCGCTTTCCTGTCTCTACAAGAGATTATTCCCATGAATGGCAGACCACAGAGTACAATTACTACACTCAATGACGCATTATTCTAAGTGATTTATCAGGCGAGGCTGCTTTTCGACATTGGTTTTGCGCGGCATTTCCATGTTCTCAGCAGAGAGCCTGTTTGGTGATAGTACAGGGAAGAGAAGGCATAAAATATTTCACAGTTATTGGTTCCATTATGTATGGATGAGAAAACCTTAATAATGTGTAGCTTCAGCAAATAGGAAACTTAGGTACCATATATTTTATAAAAGTACATACTTCTTTTAACGGTTTATAACTCAATGCATCGTTCAGGTGGACTCAGGACTATGGGATGTTGCCGTCGGCGACTACGTGAGAATGAAGCCAAAAGGAAAGTTCTAAAAATGAATCACGTATGACCAGATTTACAGGAGGAAGAATCAGTCGCTTTTAGATAAGCATGCCCTTGATACTGTGAACTTGTATGATGATAACATTGAGTAAACCGTAGTTGAACGTTTGAAGTAAGAATGTAAAAGAGGACCGGGTTGGTTGTCTCTTTTCTGCAACCTCTTTTGGGTAGAAAGCGAAGACTGGGATGCTCGAGTAGGAGGAAAACAGTAGATTAAGAAGCAGAATTTTGATGTATGCTCGGGTGGCTTATGTTGGTAAATGAGAAGCCCACCGCCTGACTTATCTTTTTTGCCATGTAGCTGATTGCACGCAGGTGTATTTCAGTCTTTCAATGTAAGCCACAGAATGGAGATGTTTGATGAAAATGTATTAATCAGTTGCAAAAGAACAACTCATCACCTGTGTCATGACAGAAATCTGATTCTATTACATTCGCGGCATTTGCTTAAAATGCCGGCCATAGTACGATAATATCCAGTGGATGCTTAGATTTGCTGATGCTATCTAGGTATTTCTGTCCCCAAATATATACATAACTCACAAAACTGGGTGCTTTTATAAGTTTATGTGGTTACACGCACAAGATGATTTCCAACAATCTTCATAAACAAAACCCGCAAAGCCAACAGCTCAGTTAGTCAACCAGACTTATGATATGGTGGACTGTCCCGATTAAACAAGTACCATTAACTTAGAGGGCGTGGATTATATGTGTTTGTGCAAACGCCAATGAGCTATACAGTCATACCAGCGATGTCTAGGATCAACCGAATGGTATGTAAAACCAAGATACTTATGTACATTCCAGACTTTACTATTTTTTGTGGATAATGCCTCAAACTTAAAACAGTGTATTTGGGAGCTTGTGCAGTTGGTTCACTTCAACAATTTGAACAGCACTGAAAGAAAACGAAGACTGTGAGAGGCATGCATTTTGTGTGGTCTCCAAAGTCCCCTTAGCAATAACCCATATGAATAGATACAGCTAACAGTGGGTGCAAACAGACAAGCTTGAGGTGCAGAAAGAGTGACAAAAGTTAACCCCAACGTTCAGTGTAGCTTTAAGCTGGTAACTAATTGTTTCTTAACACACAGGGCTGGCTTGATGCTCAGCCTAGCTCTAAGTGTTGGCCGGAGACTATTAGGTGTTTGCCTGTCGAGGAAGCCGGCGGTCTACGGGAGCACGGAATTTGATGGGGGTAGCAAATATGAGCAAATTTATGCTGAACCCAGCTCGGCCATGCTTCTTTATTCAGGAAATCAAAGCCCTATTATTTCTGCCTAGGTAATTGTCGCCGCAGTCACACACAAATTGGTATACCCAGTGTGAGTTTTGAGTGTGAGCTTCCTTGGTTGGATGTACAGGCAACTTTCGAGCTCGGTTGAGGGCGACAATTTGCGCAACAGTAAGTTCCTTGCATAGCGGAAACTATGCACTCAGTTGTCCTTAGCGTGGATAAATCTTTGAAAGGTAACTCCATATTTAAATTTCTCTTTTCTGTCGTGTGCACTTCGGCCTTCGCGGTTGGCTGTGTTGTCTACCAATCCCTGCACAGATCTCTCGTCAATCCGTCAATCATTCTTAATAGTCTGATATTTATCCTTACTTTATGCTTTCAGAGAAATAGCTGGTGTGCGACTTGATATTATTAATAAGAGAAACACGTAGCGGATAATGCCCCTCGACTGGCTGTACGCCTCGATGAAGAAAACTTGCATACAGGAACTGCACGTAAGGCGACCAAATTTAAGCGGAAGCTTAACTTATGCGCGAGTTCCTCGTTGTTTGATGTAGCATTACCAAATTACTTAAAATAGAACAATGTAAAATGAGCATGTGTGACCAGTCCACCTCAGCGCAGTATAAAAATATATTTGACTGGAGCTACTGTGAGCTAAAGTTGCGCCTTACTTCTTATTTCATTGCCTAACTTAACTAAGCTATCACTATCGCTTTGTGTCTGTGCACAATCTAGTTAAAGAGCTAGCAGCTTCTGACAGTTTTCTAGAAATCTACGCATTTACAAGGCGTCCGCACTGGCAAACGTCATCGCCCAGGACATACGTTACACTAAACGTAACTCTATCCACCGTCTAGCTACACAACGAGACCAAAAGGAATATCATTTGGAGATGTCATAATCTGAGTAATCAATTAATCGCAGCCAAGCTGCAATTTTCTCAACGTGATTTTCAGTGATGTGAAATGAGTAGAGGTTTGTATCAGACGAGCACGGAGCTGGTGACAGCTACATATTACATTGCACATTATAACCTGTGTTGCGCATAGAATAGTAACGAATACCGCACTATTACGGGTTGGTCGTCTCCCTTAAACAGTAAAAATTACATATGGCGGTTAACGTAAGGCGTCATTCATAACTCGCAACAAGCGGTCCTGCCCAAGATTTAACGATATTAACCAAGTATACGCTGATTGTCTAGCTTCTAGGAGTAACCGCAGCACATGCAGGCAGTATATTCCACCCCGACCTCAGCATCGGTTGAGTGGGTTTACTAGAGCATTTTTCTCTAGGAGAAGCTATAGCAAAGGAAATATCGTATACAGTAAATACACCAACTATCTACATGTAGCAAAAGGAATGAAGTGAGTTTCGCATACTTTCTATCGAGTGGGAGGTAATAAATACTCCAAGCAATGCCTAGAAACCAGTCCCCATCTTACTCACGGGACTCTAGGCTTGTTAGTTTGCAGGATATACTTGTATAAGGCTCTTTCTTTAATCTCTTTATCCGTATGATACAAACTGGTACATGAATGCATATTCCGCACTTGAGAGTGCAGCGGTACCGAAAGACTTTCTAAAATTCAAAGATTTCATTGCTGCTGGGAAAAGACACCTATGATTAGCAACGGGTTGGCATCTTTAGTGGGCCGTTAGTGTTACATACAGACAAACAATAGGTTTATTTGGGTAAATCACTTTTTAATAAATGTCGATGAACTTCCATGTATAAGAATGAGCTGCAATACCATTGCTTAATCCGTGAATGATTCAGTTGGTTGACTTACGCACATCCGCATAATGACTTGGCTTTCACTTCACCGTCTATGTCCATTATAATTCTCCTCCCACCTTTTGTGCGTGCGCTCTTTCGAACCAGTTAGACGAGCGTTACTCAGTGATTCCCACCTCTTGGATCTAACTTGTATGGATCTACCGTTGTCCAAGAGCACCGTTTTAGCACATTCTGTATCAAGATCAACGTGTGTAATTACATCACTTCTGAGCTATTCGGTTTAATTTTGCTCTCATTCGGAAGAAGAAACTAAAGACCATCAGACCACCCTGTCATCAGGCTGCATAACAACAACGTTACGAGACATTTCGCGTTGCACATGCAGTTAAACTTCTCTTCCGAGACACTCGCGGGCGCTGCTAAGCGTACCACTTTCATCGTTGCGTACAGCAAGCCGATCAATCCACGCCGCATCTTCGTGCGGCTGTGTAGACAAACCCGAGACAACCAACGGCTGAATTCAGCACGCTGCGCGCGACTGCGAGAGAGACAGTGGCACAGCCACTTGTTTTACCAAAGTGACGTTGGCCTCGGTACATTGAATATATGATCCAGAGTTAGATTAATCGTCAACACAAAGTTCATGTGATCTGAGAGGCGAGAGTAGCCGACACGCAATGCCTAAAAGTGCCTGTGGAACATGGAATAAGGTAGTCAAAATAAGAATATTGTGCGACGAAATCAGGGCAAAAGAATTTACACTGCTCAACAGCATGCTAAACTTAGTTTCCTTCTGCGTGAAGTGTAATACTGTCTCCTTAGTTAAGGCCTTAATTGTTCTGTCCCGGAAGTTGGATAGGTTGCCAGAAGTGGTTGAGCAAATTTTGGCTTCAAAATAGCTACAGTAGGAACAAGCATAGCGAAATGTCTGCACAGCTTCCCCACCAAACCTCACTATAATCCAATTACACAACGCTGGAAGTTGCGCTAACAAAGTAAATGGTGCAAAACCCGCCACTATTCCGATTCGGTTAGGCTTTTCCGAACACTTCACTGTTTACAACAACTCCCCTCAAGGCAACTTCTTCCAAACAGGCTTCGTCGAAACTTTGGAAAAATGCCAACATCAGTAGCAGCTAGGGTGTATATGAATCCAAGAATACAAGAAAATTGACAGCTGCTGTTGCTACTGCCATACCCGAAACTTACGCAAGACTCAATACTGCACTGATGTCTAGCAAATAGCACGGTCTCTCAATCACCACCCATACTCACACAAAAAACACTCAGAAACAATTGGATATCCTATCTATAAAAGGTATCAACTTTCTGTAGTCAGCATGGATTTCTATGAAGGGGAAATAGATGATTGACCTGGGCCAATGAAACACTAAAAGCATTTCGTTTGGTATTACGATTAAGCCCTCCAAATTGAAGAGGATCACATGCCACCCGAATTCCAACTAAAACTGCAAAGCCAGACTTATTCGGGCTGTGCCAAAATATGTCCATGAGGCGGAATCTATGTTGCATTTGACAGCCCTTCTACGAAGCGGATCATGTTTGATCCGCGTCTTTCCAGACAT